ATTACAAATTTGAGGCCTGCTTGAGCTGCATGGTATGACATGTGCAGTATAGAAATACATGCGTGTGTATATATGTATGTGCTCTATGACGGAAAGTGACTGATGAGTTGCTCTAGCTGTGGTACAGCAAACCATGCTCTGAGTGGTCACTGAGGCCCTCAGTGTCAACAAAGCAGGAGGCATTGGGCCTGGTCCCGTTGAGCACTTCTCATTTAAATCCTGCCTCTTTGACTGTTGAGGCGTAGCTGTCTTTCATTTTTCTTACCGATTTGACTCTCATTTCTGCTTTCTGAGCCTGACCAAATCACCTGACCTTTGGAAGCCCTCTTGTCCCCATCAGCCCCATCCTGTCTATTGCTCGTGTTCTTTTGGGCTAAACACACAGAGCTGCAAGTCCCGTGCCTGGCGCACGGCTATAAATGTTTCTCCTTTCTCTCTGGCTTTGGCTCCTTCCTACTGCTGTCTTTTCTGACTGGGGCGGGGGAAGCCCCTGGGATGTACCCCCTTCCCCCTTCGTAGCTGTTGCCCATGCGCACGGCTGTGATTCAGACGTGTTTCTAAGGCCGGGTTTGCGGTTAGCCTGTCTAACAGTAGTTGTAGCTTCATAGGGAGGTGTCTGTGAGACCCGAATGGGTTGCACAGTGCTGAACGTGGGTTTTCTCTCACAGCTTCTCGTGGAGTGTTCTTGCTGTGGACGAAGCTCATAGATTGAAAAACCAGAGCTCCCTGCTGCACAGGACACTTTCAGAGGTAAATTCACAGGGCAGCCTTGGCTTTCATCTGACTGCCTGCTGGTAGGGATAATCTTTAAACAGTGGCTTTAGTTTTACAACAAAATTGAGCAGAAGATACAGAGATGCCCCTCGTCCCGCTCCGTTCGTATCTCCCCTCATTTACCAGCATCCCGTCAGAGCAGTGGATTTGTTGCAAGTGTCGGAACAGTGTTGACATTGTCAGTGAGAATCTGCAACTCAGAGATTCGCCTTTGATATTGTAGATGCTGCTTGGTTGGGAGAAATAGATAATGACATCTACCCACCATTGCAGTATCATGCATGGTAGTGGAAATCTCACTGCGTGACAACACTCTGGAGCCCTGCTTACTCGTCCTTCCCTTTAAGAATGTTAGCCAGGTGCGGTGCGTGCGTGCAATTCTGGGGTAATGGAGGAGGGCTGCGCCATCGAGCTTTTTAAAAACTACTTAAAACAATAGTTTAGATCTGAATAGAGTAGACTTAATTGAAGCTTTTCTTTTTTAGTCAGATTACTGCGGGGCTAAGTGAACACTCATGCGGGGTCCCAGGAAGTCTGCAATGTCTTACATCCTGTCTTTCGTAAGATAATGTTTGGGAATATTTCAGCTCTCTTTGGAGCAGCATGGGTTTCATTACAGAGATAACCTCACCATAAGCCCCTGTTTGTGGTAGCAGATATATTGGGCGTATTGCACCTCTCCCTAATTTACCCGTTTAAAGACTCCAATAACTCACATGAAGACCAACTCCATGCCATTGCGTATCACCTTCATCCTCTATGGTCTTTGTCTATTATAAAATATGATACATGGTCCTCATCCTCTCTAGGCTTCTCCCACTATTCTAGAAACATGGGAATGATTTTTTTTTCCTCTGAGATGCCCATGGAAAGTGGACTATCTCCTAATTGAAAGGTGTGTTTATTCATGAGACCACACATTAGTTTTTGTGGTGACTAAGTTTGGTCCCAACACACAATAAACCACTTAGGTTGGTCCAAGTTCTATAGTCACTGACTACAAGTTGCAGTTTGGGGAATTTGAGAGCAGATCTGCTCTCTAGATCGCTGCCCCTTCATGGGGAATCCTCCCTGCTGCCATCACCTTCTTTTTAGGGACCCTTAGCGGTGTCTCCTTCCCAAAAGGTTTTTATTTCAGTCGGTTTGTGCTGCTTTAACATAGTGCCACAGGCTGTGTCATGATGAACAAACATGCATTCACCACCGTTCTGAAGGCTGGAGAGCCACATCAAGGTTTAGGGGCTGTGTTATGTGGCGGAAAGGCAAGAGAAAGAAGTGAAAGCTAGCTCACTGATCTTTGAAAAGCCCTTGATCCCCTTGGAAAGGAGCTCCTGTGGCCTCATTACCTCTTGGAGGGACACCTCCTGATACTGCCATGTTGGGAACGCCTGCACACGTGAGGGAGCACATTTGAGTCATAGCAGTGTCTCTCCTTGAAAGAGAATGCTTCCTAAACTCCCGTGCCAATTTACTGATGTACAGTGAGAGAGGAGATGGGGACTGTAAAGGGACCCTGGGCTTGTGGGTTTGAAACGGGGAGTCTGGGTTTTGTTGCCATTTTTCAGAGCCTACACATATTCATAAGGCTCAGAGGGATGGAGCAAGAAAATTACTCTGGGACATGTCAGCATTTCTTTTTAGGTGAGGTTTGGATTGCAGATCACTATGGTTGAACAGAAAATACATTTATTTAGGTGGGGCAGGGTGGCACAGGTCTTTAATCCCAGCACTTGGGAGGAAGAGGCAGGCGGATCTCTGTGAGTTTGAGGCCAGCCTGGACTAAAGAGTAAGTTCCAGGAGAGTGAGACATGCCTCCCTCCCCATAGAAAGCAAAAATGCAAACAACCAAACAAAACCATTTATTTATTGGACTGAAAGGTGGGAAGGGGGGATTCTGTCTGTTTTTTTCCCCTTAATATTGTCTATGAAAGTTGGAAGTGACCTAAATGTGAAAATGGAGGGTTGGTTCTGGGATTTATGTTTCATACTTACAGTGCTTTTACAACCAAAGCTGCCATAAAAATTTATGTGGAAGAATAGTTAATATTTAATAAGGAATGTACTTATACAATATTTTATACACAAACCTTATAAAGTACTATAAAGACAGATTGTCTCTGATTTTTTTTTCAAATGTAAGTTTTGATGCCAAAAAGGACAGTACTTTTATTTGCAAACTTAACTGGTGTCCTAGGAAAAGCCAAATATTATGACTGGCGGTCACCGTTGTGGCCTTCTGCTCTTTGACCAGCACAGCTCTTTACTGAAGTACTCAGTCCACATAGTTGAAATACTTAAGAAACATTGTCCAGCAAGCAGCGCAGGCCTGGATGGGTAGACGAGAATGAGCATTTCAGAAAGAGCAAGAGCAGATTGCCAAAGCTCTTACCCTCAGTTGTAATTGGTTGTGTCACATCACTTTTTCTTACTTCAAAAGCAGTGTGTTGTCTTATGATCCTTCCCGAGCCCAAATCTAGAAAGATGAGAAAAGGGAAAGACACCATAGCCCACTCCCGCATCAACACTTCAGTATATCTTATATGTGCTGTGTGTGTATGTACATGCTTGGTGCCCATTGTATGTCTTTATTTAAAACAGCATGCATATATGGTATATGGCTTTTCTATATTGTTCCATTAATTTTGATGGTTCTTGTTATGTGAGTTTGGAGGTTGACCATCCTTGAATATTTCATATCTCTTGTTAATATTTTTCTTTCTCTTTTTGAGCAAAGCAAAAAAATTTACTAAGGAAGAAAGAACTCCCAAGAGTCCAAAGTGTCCCAAGGGAGGAATACCTTGTTGTTACTGTTTTTCTTAACCTTTAAATTTCATTACTAATTAACTAGAATTTGGTTTTCTCATTTGTTTCTGAGAATTTCAAGAAGTCCCTTCTGTTTGGGGCTGTCCAGAAACTTCCGTTAAGTTTTACAAAAGGCTCTGTTTTAGTATCGATCTTGTGTCTTACCTGTAGGAGAGGGTCCTGGTGTGTTGCTTTTTTGCTTTCTTGGCTCTGTGTGCGCACACATGCTTGTCTTAGTTACTTGGGTACACCCCCCATATATCCTGTAATTTAACACAGTGACTACCCTGTAACACTTGTGCAGGAAGCGATGTGACTTGCGTCCTTACAGCACTGTCTTCTTTGTAGGACCATTTTCTGCTTCTTAGAGCTAAAACCAGGGTCATTTCCTTTGTCAAGTAAGACACACAGCCTGCACCCAAGCCTCCTGGTGTCCTGTACCCTTGGTCATTCCCATCTCGTGTCCTGTATTGCTGGTCATTCTCGTTACGTCATGCTGCTCTCTGCTGGGCAGCCCCCAGTCTGTCCTCCCACTGTGGGGGACTTGTAATTTTGCTGGTTTGTGTTTAAGTTCTCAGTGGTCTTCCGCCTCCTGCTCACCGGAACTCCCATCCAGAACAGCCTCCAAGAGCTCTACTCCCTCCTCAGTGTCGTGGAGCCTGATGTCTTCTGCAGGGAGCAGGTGGAAGACTTTGTTCAGCGTTACCAGGACATCGAGAAAGAGTCCAAATCAGGCAGGTTTCTCTCTTCCTAATCATCCCCAGGAGGGCTTGGTACCCAGACTGCCTTTCCGTCTAACTGCTGTAGATAAAGACAGACAGCCAGAAGACCAGGGAGGTCAAGAACCACACAAAAGGCTGGTGCTAGATACCTCGTTGTCTTCGTTTGTCTGCCTATGCTCCACTCTCTGGGAGAGGTAGGAGGGTGCCTACTGCAGGCCCATACTGTCGTCCAGCGTTCTGCAGCAAAGATGTTCCTTTTTAACCTTGCACCGAAACCAAGAGTTTAAGAGAGATGGGATGTAGAAGTGTGTGTGTGTGTGTGTGTGTGTGTGTGTGTGGGGATGGGGGGATGGGAGGGGGAAGGGGGGATGGGGGCTTCATCATCCTTGTGTGGGTGGCAGCTTTCTCTTGTACCTTTGCCCCTCTGTATCTGTATACAGGATTTTGCTTTTGTATGTATGGGTAAGTATGAGTTGGAGGGGGTGTTTTCCAGTAGAACACCCCAGACTATAGGCTAAAGATTTCTCCCACATAACTCCCATGGTTAGAGCTGCCAGAGAAGTTTCAGACACGCAGTCAAATATTACATGGGCATACCATATTAAAATGTTGTTTGTTGTCGGGCGTTGGTGGTGCACACCTTTTATCCCAGCACTCGGGAGGCAGAGGCAGGCGGGTCTCTGTGAGTTCGAGGCCAGCCTGGTCTACAGAGTGAGTTCCAGGACAGCATCCAAAGCCACAGAGAAACCCTGTCTCGGAAACAAACAAACAAACATGTTGTTTGTTGTTATGTGAAATTCCAGTGTAGCTGGTTACTTGTCCTGCATGTTTTATATGCTGTGTCCGGCAATCTTAACATGGAGTCTAATTCTGACTAGAATAGCTTTTGACATTTAAGATACCTATCGAGGGAACAAACAATTTGAAGTCAAAAGAACCAAGTTTGAATACTGACAGCATTGGCCATCAGCTTTCTGGCTTGGATCATATAGGCTTGGCTCTTGGAGCCACACCTGACTCTGCTGTTAAAATGGGTGGTTACTTGACCCCCTTTCTAAGAGTAATGCTGGTCAATAGGAATGCATGCAAAACCACCCCGGGAAGAAGAGAGCCTCCGGAAAACAGGATGATTAGTAAGACTAGAGTTCTTAAGTGTTCCCAGTTCCTGGGTTCAGGGCTAGTGCCAGGTGGAGAAGGAGCCGGGAACTCAGAGAAGGAAGAAGGACAGACTCCTCTGTGGCATGGGTTGGGTTTTTATGTTGTAGAGCAGTGCACATTCAGTGGAAAATGTGTGTGAACTTTGACCTGCTGTTCTGATCCGCTCAGGTAGTTAGCATATCATTGGGTGAACTTTTACTATTTCTTGGTGATGAATGCTTTCAATTCCTTTTTTTTTCTACTAGAGCACATTGCGTATGTGTATGAAATTGTCAAAGAAGAAAACCTGGAGAGGTTTATAATTGCTTTCTTCTTCCTACTTTGAGCTATATAACAGCATTATTCTATATGTTTAAGTGCTCAGCAGTTATGGAAATGTAAGTCAGAGCCACAGAGAGGGCTGGAAATTGCACTCAGTGGTTAAGAGCTCTGACTGCTCTTCCGGAGGACCCGGGTTGGGTTCCCAGCACCCACATGGCGGCTCACAGCATCTGTAACTTCAGCTCCAGGTAATCTGATACCCTCATCTGACCTCTGTAGGCGTTTCACACACATGGTACCTTTACATACATGCCAGCAAAACACTAATACACATACAATTAAAAGAAGTATAAAAATATAAAAAAGACAGGGAGGTACCATTCACCCCAGCGGAGTGGCTATTATCCCCCTCCCCATGATGGGTGACTATAGACTAGAGTAAACAGTACAGTGCTGAGGTACCTCAGAAACCTAAAAATGCAACTGCTGTATCATGTAGCAATCCGAATTGGTCCCAAAGGAAATTAAACCATACCCACATGCCACACTCTTCATAGTAGCCAAGATAGAGCTAAGCTAAGTACTCAGCATAGATGACTAGATAAAGATTACATGCTGCGGGATACTGCTTAGCAGTAAAAATCTCTCTTTGCCTGGGGTAGTGACGTAAGATTTTCTCTCATCAGACTGGGAGCATCACCACTCACAGCTTCCCAGTCAGCCTTGAGAGTGAGCTTCACAGTGCCCTCTCTTACCAGAACTGCTTGAATAGAGCTGCTAGTGAATTAACTGAAATATTCAACTTTTTAAATTCTCTCTCTCTCTCTTTCTCTCTGTCTCTGTCTGTTTCTCTCTCTCCGTGTGTGTGTGTGTGTGTGTGTGTGTGTGTGTGTGTGTGTGTACACACTGTAGCACTATATGGAGGTCAGAGGACAACTTGTGGGTATCTGTTTTTTTAATATTTAATTAATTAATTAATTAATTCATTATGTATACAACCTTCTGCCTGCATGGCAGCAGAGGGCACCAGATCTCATTCAAGGTGGTTGCGAACCACCATGTGGTTGCGAACCACCATGTGGTTGCTGGGAATTGAAGTCAGGACCTCTGGAAGAACAGTCAGTGCTCTTAACTGCTGAGCCATCTCTCCAGCCCTGGGGCGGGGTGGGGGGGTGGGAGGGGTGTGTGTCTGTTTTTTAATCTACCATGTAGGTTCTAGGGACCAAGCTCTGCTCAACACATGTGACAGCACACACCTTTACCCACTGACTGTCTTGCTGCTCTCAGCACTGTATTTACTTTATTTTAGTAAATTCGGGTTTATTTTGTCTTACTAGTGAACTGTTTGGAGCATTTTAAAGTAGACCAGGATAAGCCATGATGCTTGGTAGATTAAGTATATTAAACACATTTTTCAACTAATAGTATTTTCAACTTGGGATGAATTTCCAGGGACATAAACCCTGTTGTAAATTCAGGAGTATGTGTAATACGAAAAATCACTGTCCTAACTCAGAATTCAGACTGTATGTTTTTTGGTTGCTGAATATATCGATTCTATACTATTTGTTTTTTCTTATGCAGCAAATGAGCTACATAGACTCTTGCAGCCATTTCTCCTAAGGCGAATGAAAGCTCAGGTAGCCACAGAGCTTCCCAAGAAGACAGAGGTGGTCGTATACCATGGCATGTCAGCACTACAGAAAAAGTACTACAAGGCCATCTTGATGAAAGACCTAGGTATGGGCACATGTCTGTGAGAAGCTGTGGTTCTCTAGGAATTGGGCTCCCTCCCTCTGTACAGCAAGGAGGGGGTGGAGCCCTAGATTCTGAGTGAATCTCAGGTTGGCTGTAGTGTGGCAGGGGTTCTCAGACAGTTTCCTTTTTCCTCTGGCCACATTCCCCTCACTGTCTTGAAGCAAGCACTTTTGAGCACCCTGGTCCTGCCCTCTCTCTTTCCAACCCATTGGATACTTAATGAGCTGCAAGGTGCGGTTGACTCAAATTCACTGGGGGGATGGGAGCGAGAAGGAGAGGCAGCAGTGTGATCTCTTGATGTCTGAGAAAAGGGTAATCAGGTTCTCTACATTCAACTTACGGTTTAGTGTCCTTCTTAAGAGAAAGAGACAGCTAAGGCAGTTTCACACAGGTGTCCAGTCCAGTCGGGGCAGTTACACAGATTTGAGGTACGAATGATTAAACGTCTGAGGCTGTAGAACCTTGAGGGGTGGGAGTTGCTCTGGTAATCCAGCTTTCTTCCTGTTGTTTTTACGATTTCAGATGCATTTGAGAATGAGATGGCAAGGAAGGTGAGCCTGCAGAACGTCCTAACGCAGCTCCGGAAGTGTGTGGACCACCCGTATCTGTTTGATGGTGAGGAGGCAGTGCATTGTCCCTCCACATTCAGTGAGCAGTTGGGGCCTCCACCATGCCGTTGTCCGTGCTTGGTTTGTTGTGGCGGTGTTATCTGACACATCTACTCAGATTTAAGTTCTTCTCACTATCCTTTGAGGTTATGTTTTCTTTTTTACTCCAAGATCCAGTCATAGATCTTGTGTTGTGCTTATCCCAGAAGTTGACTTGTTTTTCTCACGGTATTGATGGTTTTGGAGAATCAAAACCAATGGCTCTACAGAGTCACCATCGGGGTTTGTTTGAGTGTGTCCTCACATTTCATTTCTCCCTGTCCCGAGTCCACTCAGGCAGCCCATCTTCACCCCCAAGGGTGGCCTGGAGCTTGCTGTGTAGACCTGACTGGCCTCAAGCTCGTGGAGATTTGATCCACTTGCCTCTGAGTTGTAAGTGCTGGTATTAAAGGTCTGTGCCAGCACACCCAGCTAAACTGGGAATTTAAAGATATGCTCTGATTGGAAGCCTAGGGACAATTCAAGGTCTTCTGGGCATGGAGTCTCCATCACAGAAAGGCCCAGTGCCGAGGTTTGTTACAATCAGGCGGGGTACCTAGTGCTGGAACTGTTTAAACAATTCACAGCATCTTCATTCGCTGCACATTAGGGCTTTGTCTTAATGGATGGAGCATGTAGGTTTTAAAGGAAGCTCTGCCGGCAATTCTGACTGCTACCCCATACCTTAGAATGTGCATGTCATCTCTGAGCTTGTTGTTGATTCATTCCGTAGAAAGCCCAGACTCCAGTTTGGGTTTTCTTTTCATCAAGATGGACTTGCCCCTTAGGTAAGCTTTGGTTTTTTTGTTGTTGTCATTTTGTTTTTTTCTTTTGGGGTATACTTGCCTTTGTGATTGGTGTCAAGAAATATTGGGATCATCATACGAACACATAATCATAAAATTCCTCAACCACAGATGAGCCTTGGCACATTATCCAGCATAAGGAGTATGGGGCTCCTTTCCTGGTGGCCAGTGTTTCTCCTCGGGATCTGCTCCCAGCAGGCACACCAGTGGAAATGGGTTCTTTCTTTCCCAGGTGTGGAACCAGAGCCCTTTGAAGTTGGAGAGCACCTGATTGAGGCCAGTGGGAAACTTCACCTGCTGGACAGGCTGCTGGCATTTCTGTATTCAGGGTAGGCAATGCGTTTACATTTACTACTCTGAGCTAGTAACCGTTAAAACCTAAATGGCGCAGTTAGCAGATTTATCTAGAAGGATCCGAGTTTTCTTTCTTCAGGGCCTCAATTAAGGCTCCACCCTCTGCCGTGATGCTCTTAGCCCTGCCCCCGCCTCCCCCAGCACCCCTCCACGGTCTCCCTTTTGTTAGGCTCCCAGATCAGCATTGGCCGTGTTCTCCTTCATATACACTGCCTGACTCGTGAGTGTTTGGCTGCCCTACCACTCTGACCTTCCTGTTCCTCCAGAACAGAGATGGCGCTGATCTTTTCTTCCGTGGTTGCCTTTTGGCAGCTTGTGCTGAATCAGTATCTATCATAGGGCTCAGTTAATATTCCTTCCTGTTAACCTGAGGATCTTGGTCTACACTCAAGGGGATCTTGGGGGCCATTTTCCCAGAGCCATGAATCGGACATCAGAAGATCCTGTGTAGTAGTGTTTGGCTGATGGTGTTTAGTTTGTTCTCCCTGAGGAAGGGGGGGGTCTAGACAAACCCCAGATTCTTGAGGATTTTAGTTTATCCCTTTGAAGGAATAGCCTGAAATTTAGCAAAATTGCCCATTAGGAATATGCAGGATCAATAATTGCATGTTAAATTATTGCATGCCATGCACTATTTTATTGGTTAGAATCAATAAAGTGTATCTATTTGTCATACCTGAGGAATTTGTGAACTCTTTATGCATGATTTTTTTCCATTTCACAGACCCAGAAAGGTTGTATGTCCAAAGGTCACCACCCAGCCAGCACATGGCAGAAGTGAGATTAGGAAACACACACACACACACACACACACACACACACGTAATGGGGCAAAGTACTCCCTCTGGGAGTTCTCCCTAACTGTTGTTCTGAAGCATATTGCACACAGAGACCAGGTTAATTCTCGGGATGAGAATTTTGTCTTGATGGCATTGTGCTTCTTTGTTCATGAAGCTTTAAAATAGTTAAAAGGGCCTCTAGACTCAACTTCATTCATTCTTTGCTATTGTTGGTTATTCATTTTTTTGTTTGTTTTTGTTTTGAAACAGTATCTCACTGTGTAGCTCTAGGTGGCCTGGAACTATCAAGTATACATCAGTGTAGATCCTGTTGCCTTGAACTTGAGATGGTCCTACTGCTTCTGCCTCCCAAATGCTGGGATATCAGGCGTGAGCCACCACATCCTTGTTTGTTTTTGAGACGGGGTAGCTATCACTGATTTCAGTTTTTATGCATATGGAGATATACATACATAATACACACACACGCACACACACACACACACACACACACACACACACACACACACACACACGGAGGCTAGAAGATAACTTCAGGTGTCATGGTAAATACTGTCCACATCCTTCGAAACAAAGTCTCTCACTGGCCTGAAGCTCACCACCTAGGCTGAACTAGCTGTCCAGCAAGTCTAAGGATGCTCTTGTCTCTGCTTTCCTAGAGCTGACATGCTGTGCATGCTACCACACCCAACATTTTAAATGTGGGTTCTAGAAATCAAGCTCAAGCAAGCACTTTACTGACTGAGACATACCCCCACCCTACCCCAGCCCCTGGACTTCATTTTATTTATTTATTTTATGTGTTGGGGTTTTGCCTACATGTATGCCAATGCCAATACACTATGTATGTGCAGTACCTACAGACGCCAGAAGAGGGCATCAGATCCCCTGGAATTGGAGTTACTGTTAGTTGTCCGCTGCCATTTGGGTTCAGAATTGAACCCAGATCCTCTTGAATTGAGTAGCCAGTGCTCTGAACTAGTGCTCTGAACTGCCAAATGATCTCTCTAACCCTTCCTTCATTCTTTCTTTCTTTCTTTCTTTTTTTTGATGGGGGAAGGTCTTCTGTGTATATGCTTGTCTGATTGGTTGATAAATAAAGCACTATTGGCCAATAGGGAAGCAAGATAGGTGGGACTAGGAGTCGAGGAGGATTCTGGGAAATGTAGTCAAGAGTGGAGAGTCGCCATCCTCGAAGATAAGTCCTTATAAAAATAATATCAGTGCTGGGTGGTGGTGGCGCATGCCTTTAATCCCAGCACTCGGGATTCAGAGGTAGGCAGATCGCTGTGAGTTCGAGGCCGGGCTGGACCGACAGCCTCCAATTCAATAGAGAAACCCTGTCTCGTAAAACCAAAAAAAAAAAATATATATATATATATATATATGTATATATATATATATCAGTAATCATAGGTAAATAATTAAGTCAGAGGTAGCCATTAAGAAGCCATAACAAACAGCCAACGGCTTTATAATTAATATAGTGTCTCATGCGTTATTTGGTGGCTAAAGCAGCGATGGGACCCAGGCAGGAATCCCACAACTAACTTTCTTTCTATTTATTTTGTTTGTTTTTATTTTGTTTTTTTTTTTTTGAGACAGGGTTTCTCTGTATTGCTTTGGAGGCTGTCCTGGAACTCGCTCTGTAGACCAGGCTGGCCTCGAACTCACAGAGATCCGCCTGCCTCTGCCTCCCGAGTGCTGGGATTAAAGGCGTGCGCCACCATGCCCGGCTCTTACTTACATTCTTTACTTAAGAGCTTCTAAGGAAGGCTTCAAATTGTATTCATACTTTAGCATTTCATTTATTTATAAGCTTAGATTCTTTTTTTGCCAAAGAATTTTGTTTGAGGGAAATACATGTTGCTATTACTAGAATTTCACTTTCTCCTTTTTCCTTACTAGGGGCCATCGGGTTTTACTTTTCTCTCAAATGACCCAGATGTTGGATATTCTGCAAGACTATATGGATTACAGAGGTGACTTTCCTTGTGCACTACGGCACCTGAATCATTTGTAGCTGCAATGCTCACATGTATAACATATATAATAGTCACATGTGTAATATATGTAATAGTGAGTCATATGAGGTGTGGGGACTGCAGAGGAAAATTACACCACAACATTACTCAGTCAGAAGATGAGACATGTAGAGTGGAGTAAAATTTGGCGGCATGGAGAGGTGTATGGGCAGAAATAAGCGGCCACATTCCCACAGTTATGTGGTTATTTGTATAATAGACGAGTTTCAATGACAAGAACTTTGGAGTCATAAAGCACCCGTCTCAGCAGCTGGGTGCTTACTCAGACTCACTAGACAGATATCCCACAACTGCAGACACCCTGCAGCCCAAACGGGAGAGGCGGTGCCAGCTGTTTATCCCACAACTGCAGACACCCTGCAGCCCAAACGGGAGAGGCGGTGCCAGCTGTTTATCCCACAACTGCAGACACCCTGCAGCCCAAACGGGAGAGGCGGTGCCAGCTGTTTATCCCACAACTGCAGACACCCTGCAGCCCAAACGGAGAGGCGGTGCCAGCTGTTTATCCCACAACTGCAGACACCCTGCAGCCCAAACGGGAGAGGCGGTGCCAGCTGTTTATCCCACAACTGCAGACACCCTGCAGCCCAAACGGGAGAGGCGGTGCCAGCTGTTTATCCCACAACTGCAGACACCCTGCAGCCCAAACGGAGAGGCGGTGCCAGCTGTTTATCCCACAACTGCAGACACCCTGCAGCCCAAACGGGAGAGGCGGTGCCAGCTGTTTATCCCACAACTGCAGACACCCTGCAGCCCAAACGGAGAGGCGGTGCCAGCTGTTTATCCCACAACTGCAGACACCCTGCAGCCCAAACGGAGAGGCGGTGCCAGCTGTTTATCCCACAACTGCAGACACCCTGCAGCCCAAACGGGAGAGGCGGTGCCAGCTGTTTATCCCACAACTGCAGACACCCTGCAGCCCAAACGGGAGAGGCGGTGCCAGCTGTTTATCCCACAACTGCAGACACCCTGCAGCCCAAACGGGAGAGGCGGTGCCAGCTGTTTATCCCACAACTGCAGACACCCTGCAGCCCAAACGGGAGAGGCGGTGCCAGCTGTTTATCCCACAACTGCAGACACCCTGCAGCCCAAACGGGAGAGGCGGTGCCAGCTGTTTATCCCACAACTGCAGACACCCTGCAGCCCAAACGGGAGAGGCGGTGCCAGCTGTTTATCCCACAACTGCAGACACCCTGCAGCCCAAACGGGAGAGGCGGTGCCAGCTGTTTATCCCACAACTGCAGACACCCTGCAGCCCAAACGGAGAGGCGGTGCCAGCTGTTTATCCCACAACTGCAGACACCCTGCAGCCCAAACGGAGAGGCGGTGCCAGCTGTTTATCCCACAACTGCAGACACCCTGCAGCCCAAACGGGAGAGGCGGTGCCAGCTGTTTATCCCACAACTGCAGACACCCTGCAGCCCAAACGGGAGAGGCGGTGCCAGCTGTTTCTATTTAACAGTAGGGAGTGTGGCCACTACCTGAGTACTGTTTAATATGTGATAAACGGATGCGAGATAATTGGGGAAAGCCATGCCTTTGGTTGATCTCAACCCCCCTGGTGAAGAAGCGTCAGTTTCAGACCTTTTAGTTTAAGTTAGTCTGGCCATGGCCTCAGAGCTATACTTGGCACTCCTCAAATACTGTGGGAAACCTAGGCTGGGTCACCCTTGCAGGGGCCCCAGAGTACAAGCAGAACTCAAGTTAGAGCCCTCTGGTTCTGGAGCATGAAGACAGGTGGGAGACCCTCCAGCTTCTGAGAAGTCAGACAGTCCCTCACGTTCCCATACTTCTGCTTGTGACTCATCAAATGCCGTCTGCCATAGAGCAAGCGTTCAGGATTTCTTGGGAGTGGTCCAAACTGTATATTAGCCTTACTTCAATCATGTTTAAGAGTATGAGTGTGTTATGATGTGTTCTTTTGTGGAATGATAGCATTGCCCCCTAAATTTAGACTCTCCCCCTCATGGGAATTATTAGAAGTAGGGCTTTTGCCTGTATCTTGAATGGGTAAAACTGATGTTTCCCTTGGGATTAACTAATGTTTTTGTTTCCCAGAATCCTTGAAAAAGGATTAAGATTGCCTCTTTCCTCCTCTTTGTCAAGGCTATAGCTATGAGCGTGTAGACGGCTCCGTGAGAGGTGAAGAGAGACACCTGGCCATTAAGAACTTTGGAAAACAGCCCATTTTTGTTTTTCTCCTGAGCACCCGGGCAGGTAGGCCACATGCATCTTGAAAGCGGAGAGAGAACTTTTACATCCCAACCATTAGTGCATTTCGCCTTATTCTCTGAAAGGCGAGGTTCTTACCAAGGAGTTGAGGAGGAGGGACTGAGACCATTGCCATGGTGGATTAAGGGGCTGGACTTCTAAAAGCATGGTGACTTCTTTGTTTCCTACCCAAGCTATGATCTCAAGGACTTTCAGCTGAAGTCTTGCATTCTTAGAAACTGTCCTAACCTGCATTGACTGCTGGCCTGGGAACGTCCTGAGAGATTTCTGTAGAGAGTTTTATTTATATTCAGGGGGTGCAGATCTTCTCCCCAGTTTTGATTTGGGGAATGAGATAACCTCTTTGCTAGCTGCCTTCCTTCTGAAATACTTCTCTATCACAGCAAAAGGTTAATGAACATTTAATTGCTTTAAAATGTGATTATAGTAAAATTGCTAGCTACTAAGAGTTATGACAGTGTCTATATATAACTTCAGTCATAAATATCACATTTGTGGTATGTTATCAGTAAGAGGGTGATTTTTTTAATGTATTATTAAACATTTTGACATTAGCTTTTTTATAAGATTCTGGATCATCCTTAAATCACCTTTTAACTCATAGACTTAGTTTCATTATTTTATTTCTTTAAGAAAACTGTTTCTTTATGTGCATATGCCTGTTTGTTTCTGTGTATCATATACCTGCAGTGCCCTTGGAGGCCAGAAGAGGGCATCAGATCCCCTGGAACTGGTGTCACAGGACATTGTGAGCCACCAGATGTGGGTGTTGGGACCAAACCCATATTCTCTGCAAGAGCAGTGCATGCTCTTACCCACCTCTCCAGCCCCTCATTACCTTATTTCTTATAAATTGGAACCCTCCTGGAATAGACATGGTGAATACAGAGATGTATGTTCCTCTATTAAAGAGAGATCAGCATCTCGGTGAAAAAGCTTCTGTCTTATTAGGAAGCACTCCCTGAGTGACCAGTGCAATAAGGGCATATAAAAGGGCACTAGGTACAGTCCTTGGTAAGGAGATGGTTTTGCCAGTCTTTGCCTTATCAGTCTAATAAAGATAATAATGCACGGTGTAATCAGAGTCTCTCAACCCTATCATCCATCACCTGTCTCCAGTAGTCTTCGGAGAAACGCAGAGAGTCAGAAGGAAAACAGTTCTATTTGTGATATTTCAAAGCCTTCATCATTTCCGTACTCAGCGTACAGCCTTTTGTTTGAAATGTCTAGAGTTAAGAAGGACGAGCTGTCCACACTTTAGTTAATTTCTCTGGGGGACCCTGAGCAGATCCTGGAGGAGCAGAAGCTCCGGGTGTTGCCCTTTCCAGAAGCGTCCCATCAGGTTTGCTGTTGTGTTTCTGCTGCAGGTCTGCAGCATTCTCAAGTGTTTAGCAGTCTACCCTGTGTTCAAGTGTTTCTGTGAATGAATCATATTGCCACCAGGGGGCAGTGGTAGCTTATGAATATGGCTCAAACAGTTATGACAGAGCTTGTTAAAAAGGCACCACTCATGGACTGGAGTGTGGCTCACGCATGTGCTCATGTAGCACGTACAGGGTCCTGGGCCCCTTCCCTGGCACTGCAAAGAAAAGGGGAGTCACCCTTTGGGAAGAGCTGCATTTTGATAGCCACAACCCAGGAAAGAGATGGTACATTTCAGCCTAGTGTGGATCCTAACCACCAGACCACGAGGGGGATGCTGCAGATTTTTAAATGGTTTAGCATCTGGGAGGTGTTAGAGTGTAGTGAGCAAAACAGGCTCTGAAGCTGGTGTGATGGAGCAGCCTGTGGTCCTGGCTGCTTAGCAAGTTCAGTAAAAAGGACGGCTCCAGCCCAGAAGTCGTAGGCCATCCTGGGCAACACAATAGGACTCTGTTTCAGGAAGGAAGGAAGGAAGGAAGGAAGGAAGGAAGGAAGGAAGGGAAGGAAGGAAGGAAGAAAAAACTACAATAGCAACCTCCACAAATGCCCAGAAAATGTAGCCAGTGGGTTCAAGAACCAGCCATGGGAGACTGCATCTTACTTAGCTCCTTTGCCTGCTAACTGTGCAAATTCAAATAAGTGTTTGACTTCTCGTGTTTCCATCTCAGTACCAGCAAAAATGGTAATGATGAATAGTCAGAGCCCATAAGGTTGTTGTGCAAGGTATTGGTCTGCATAAAATGCTCAGATCATTGCTTGGCAACTGGCAGAGAGAGCATAAATGTACAGCCATGCAAGGTAACTCAGCATCGATCAGTAATCAGTCCTTACCAGCTCTTTATTCCAGATTTAATTTTGTATGAAAGCTTAAACTATTCCTGCCTGGCGTGTCTTTGAGACCCAGCTGGGCATCAGTAGTCCTTCTGAGAAGCAGCATTTACTTCAAGCTCTTGGAACAGGCCCCGTCAGGCTCCCTTGTTCAGCAGAGATCTCTAATGACCCTGGCAAGAGCCAGTCCATTTTGTACGAGTTTTCACATTAATCAAAGAGAAGGCTGTAATTTGCCTTCATGGTTCTTTTAATTCCCCAAACCGACGGTCGCGCCTTACCCCTTTCCCAGTAGCACCAAAGAAAACCCAGAAAATTGTTGCAGGAGGTGTTGGCTTTGTCTTTGTCACACTGGGTCTGGTCGGTGTGGACACAGTTACAGAGTGCCTGGCTAAGGTTTCCTGCAGAGCAGGGGAGGCAGTCTCTGGTTCTGCCCAGCAGCAGCATCGCCAAGTACTTTAGATCGGGAAGAGTGGAAACTGCTTCAGGCTCCTAAGGTTAGCATCTTCCTTTGCTGCTTGTCCCTACTTCCCTTCCTGTTCCAAGTCAGGCAGCAGGAAGGTAAGGGAGCACCTGTGACCATGCTAGGCTCTAGAGTTGCGCATGAGTGTCCGTCTGACTCCAGTTCCCTAGTGTAGCCCTGTCTGGACCATCTTTTTTTTTTTTTTTTTTTTTTGGTTTTTACGAGACAGAGTTTCTCTGTATTGTTTCGGAGGCGCTATCGGTCCAGCCTGGCCTCGAACGCACAAAGATCCGCCTGCTTCTGCCTCCCGAGTGCTGGGATTAAAGGCGTGCGCCACCACCGCCCGGCTTGTCTGGACCATCTTTATTCTCCAGATCCTTGTATGTGCCTGGGATGAATCTCTCTTACCTTCCTTGCAGGTGGAGTAGGCATGAACTTAACGGCAGCAGACACCGTTATTTTTGTCGACAGCGACTTTAATCCTCAGAACGACTTGCAGGCGGCTGCCAGAGCTCACCGGATTGGCCAGAACAAGTGAGTGAGTTCAGCATCACGGATTTTCCACTTCCTTGGTTTGTAGACCCCCCTGGGTTGGGAAGGAGGGCGGAAAATAGTCCTGGTGACAGCACCAAACAGGAATTGAGAGACTCAGGTCCGAGGGCAGCTTTGCTGCCGGCTCCCACAGCGCATTGGCTGCGTGGCACTGTAGAACAGACTCTTTTGTTGAGCAAAAAGCCAAATTATGGGAGGATTAGACGGAATCTTTAGAAGCCATTTAATTCAATGAGCTAGAACCTGCCTCACTAAAAACAAATGGACCGAAAAACCGGCCAAGGCCAACATGAAATGAACTCATTGGCGTTTTTGTAGATTTGTCTTATATTTCTTTGTTTGGATATTTTTCATCTTATGCTTGTTTATTATGTTTCCAATGTTGTTTTTTAATGGATCTTATTTGTGTGAGTGTGTGTGTGTTTCTTGTGATCTATTTGTTTTTAATTTTTTCCTGTTTGTTTTATTAAGAGACAAAGAAGGCCTGGAGTTGGAGGAGTGGGGAGGACCCGGGAGGAGAAACAGTGATCAGAATATATTGTATTAGTTCCCCTGCCCCTAACAAATGGCCACTTGATGTTATAGAAATTTGCCAAAAGTCATGTGCTCTCGCCTTAGGCCTAAGGATGACATGTGCCTAAGAGGTTTTTCTTGGTTACAGATGACACATCACAGTCCAGGTCACCCCCCTCCATCCTTTTGTTCACTATTTGGAAGGAACAGGGATAACCAAAGGCCAGACCTCTCTTGCAAGTACTCGGGCTTCCTTCCAGGTGTACTTACCTGGTATGTCCTTTCCTGGCGTCATATACGTTCATCCACGCTGTCATTTGACTTGAACACAGGTCTGTTAAAGTCATTCGGCTGATCGGCCGAGACACTGTAGAAGAAATCGTGTACAGGAAGGCAGTTTCCAAATTGCAGCTTACCAACATGGTGATGGAAGGGGGCCATTTCACCCTAGGAGCCCAGAGACCGTCCGCTGAGGCCGACTTCCAGGTTAGAATCTGTTCTTACCCATAGGCTCATCATGATTTGTTTCTGCCCTGGTGCCTGCTATGTGCAGGGGACTGCAGGAATCAAAAGTAGGCACGATAGATACAGAGTAAAAAACAGGGAGAGTTTCTGGGCTGTCTATGTTAGACTTAAATCCAAGCCTCATCACTCCATACATTACCTCAGGGATCTTTCTTTGCTTAAAATAAGGTTTCTATTAGTTATGTCTGAGGATGCTGAGAAAATTAGAGAATTAGAAAACAAATAGTTAATCAAAGCAGGTGATTCTGTACCTCTGTCTTAGTTTCCTTTCTTCTTGCATTGACAAAACACTGGACAGAATCACCTTGAGAACAAGTGTATTTTAGCTCACAGTTCAAACCCAGCATGGCCAGGAAGTCAAATCGGCAGGAGTCTGCCGTAGCTGGTAATGTCATAGCCACAGTAAAAAGACAGGGAGTCATGAATGTTTGGGCTCAGCTCACTGTCTCCATTTTATACAATCCAGGAGCCACACCCAGGAAGTGGCATCCCGTCTCAGCTAACCTAATCAGTGTGAGCTCTTCTGGTATGCCTGGACGCATGTGTCTGGATGCTGTTCGCCAACGTGAGAGAATCCTTATCACAAACAGTTGGCTTTCTTTGGGTTTTGGTACCAAATGCAAAGCCAGTTGCATTGGTTATATATAACAATGTTAAATATTAGCATAACCAGATGTTTGTACTTCAACGAGCTATGTAAGGAGTTTGCATGCTATTACAGCATACCTTAAAGGTTTCCAAGTTATGAAGGAGATAATCTAGAGGTAAACAGTCCAGTCCAAAAGGGCAAGATGCAAGGGAACCTGAGCTATTGTTTGAGAAGATGCAGAGTTGGGAGCCGCAGGTGAGCACCAGGAAATGCCTCCTGAGCCCTCCCTGCTTCCTGTTATCACAGTGGGTGGATGAGGGGCTCAGGGAGGGGCCAAGGATGGGAACAGAAGTGTCTGACCAGCTGATGGGGCCGGTCTTTGCCACAGCGGTGTCCACAGAGCACCGTGGTGGGAGGGCAGATTGCAGAGAAGTCGACTGATGATGAGATCCAGAGGTTTAGCAGTGAGAGAGCTGGGCAAACAGCTGAGTCTGACTTCTCTGGCAGTTCCTGGAAAAGCATGTGATGATGAGTTGGTGAGAGGCGCTATAGGAAATGCTCGAGATTATCGTTACTCTTAAAAAATACAAATAAAAATCAGACACTTATCCATATTGTATTGTTACAGAGACTGTCAGGATCAATAGCTCAGATACTCCTTTATCACCGTCTGCTAACCTATCATCCAGCTGCTAAAAGCCTGCCTGGTGTCAGCAGTGATGGGCAGCGAGTGCTGGCCGGCTGTCAGAGAAGGAATGTCTAGCCATAGCAAGTCACCCACGCCCCCATGGCTTTTTTTCATCAGAAGTAACTGCCGTTAGCAAGTCACCCACGCCCCCACAGCTTTTTTTTATCAGAAGTAACTGGACATCTGGTTTTTTTTGTTGTTTGTTTGTTTTGTTTTTTTCCCTTTCAAGTTAAGCGAGATACTTAAGTTCGGCTTGGATAAGCTGTTGTCCTCTGAGGGGAGCACCATCGATGAAGTAGACCTGGAATCCATCCTGGGAGAAACCAAAGATGGCCAGTGGGTCCCCGATGCTTTGCCTGCAGCAGCAGAAGGAGAAGACAGAGAACAAGAGGAAGGAAGTGAGTTGGGAACCAGATCTTGTTTCCTCTGTGATCCATTTTGAGTTGATGTTTGCGCAGGGCGAGAGACTGGATTCCGTTTTATTCTGCTGCATCTGGTTTTCCCAGCACTCTTTGTTAAAGAGGCTGGTTTTTTTTTTCTTCAAAGTATGCTTTTGACCTTTGTCAGAATGAGGTACCTGTAACTGTACAAGCTTCTTTCTGGGACCTCTTTTGTGTTCTGAGGGTCCACGCCTGTGCCATGCTGTTTTTGTAACTGTGGTTCTGCAGTATGATTTGAATTTGAATATTTGACACCTTTAGCATTCTTTCTACTAAGGATTGCGTTAGCTATCTGGGGTCTGTATGCGTCCACCTAAGTCAGAAATGTCATTGGAATTTTGACGGGGCTTGCAGTGAACACGCTGATTGCTACTGTAGCTGTTTCTGCAACATTAGTTCCACCAGCCCACAAGCATAAGAGGTCTCGTCTTCTAATGTTTCTGGGGTTTCATTCTTTAGTGTCTTTACGTTTTCATTATGGAAGTCTTTCACCTCCCTTACTGGATTTGTTTTCCTGGTTCCCACGTATTGTGTGGTTTATTTTTCTAGCTACTGAGTTCTAGTTTTCTCATACTGTACTATGATCTGATAAGATACAGGACAGTATTTCTATTCTTTTACATTTGGGAAGATTTGACTTATGAGCTCGGTGTGGTGGTGCACATCTTTAATCCCAGCGCTTGGGAGGTAGAGGCGGGTGGATTTCTGAGTTAGAGGTCAGACTGGGTTCCATAGCAAGATCTTGTCTCGAAAAACAAAAACAAACATTTGATTTGTGGCCTGGGATGTGTCTATTTTAGCAACTGCCCTGTGGGCTGCGAAGTCAGATGTGTATCCTGTTCTGTTGGATGGAGTATTCCGTTTGTTCTGTGGGATGATTTAACTCTGAGCTGTCTGTTGTTTTTTTAGTTTGGTTAACTTTTTTAGAGATGAGAGCCTCCACAGAAGTCTCCACTATTATCCTATCAGGTCCTATCTGGTTGTGTTTTACTAAATTGGGAGCCCCAACATTGGCGTCTATTTAAATTGTTTTATCTTTTTGGTGAACTGTTCTCTTTGTTAATATATAATGACCGTCCTTCCTGACTAATTTTGGTTTGAAGTCTTCTTTAATCAGATATGAAAACACCATGCCAGCTTGCTTTGACTCTCAGTTTGTAGGTGTCTACCAGCTTGGTGTATTTATTGGAAACAATGGATAGTTAATTTTTTTAATTTTAATTTTATTTGCCAGCTAGCCAATCTGTGATTCATTTGGTGAGTTGAGTTCATTTGCACTTAAGATTGTTATTGAGAGATATCTGCTACACCTGTAATGTTGTTGGCTGTTTTATTGTTATTTGTTCTTTATTGTCTTCTGTTAGTATTGGGAATTGACTTGTTTACTGTGGTGGATGTTAGGGATTTCTTCTTAGCTCTCCTTTATTTGGCCATCCTTCTGAGGACTCTCATTCTGTGCTTTCATGACTGAGCCTCCCTTTCTCCTTTTCTGTGTAAGTAAGTATTCCTCTGTCTTCTACAGTGTCGGATTGGTGGTGAACTGCCTTAGTTTGTGCTCGCCTTGAAATGCCCTCCATTCCCCCTCCTCACGCTCTGTGTGTGTGTGTGTGTGTGTAGTGTGTATATGTATGTGTGTGCGCGCGCATGTGTGTGTATGTATGTGTACATGTATGTGCGTGAGTGTGTGCATGTATGTGCGTGAGTGTGTGTGTGTGTGTGTGTGTGTGTGTGTGTGAGTGCGTGTGCGGTGTTTTGTGCATATGTGGAAGTGGATGTGTGGGACAATAGAAGAAGGCATTAAGTGTCTTCTTGTTTCACCCCCAGTCTTATTCCTTCAAGGCAGGGTCTCTCCCTGAACTCAGAACTCACTTTTTCGTCTAGACTGGCTGCCAGCAAGGCCCAGCAATTCTCCTCTCTCTGTCCTCACAGTGCCAGGGTTACAGGCCTGCAGGGGACCTTGCCCAGCTTGTTTGTAAATGCTGGGATCCCAACTCAGATCGCCATGCTTGAACGCAGTGTTTGTTTTAGAACTTATTTACTTTTGTTTCATGTGTTTGGGTGTCTGTCCCACATGCTTGTGGAGGTCAGAAAAGGGCATCGGGTGCCCTGGTGCTAGAGTTACTCATGGTCGTGAGCTGCCATGCGGGTTCTGGGGATCAATTCTGGGTCTGCTGGAAGAATAGCAATGCTTTTAACCCCTGCGCCCTCTCTCTGGCCCCCAGCGTAGTGTTTGTTGACCTTGTCTGCCATCTTTGAGAGTCTTTCTGTCTGCTTGAGTGTTTTTCTGATACTTTCTGTTGTATTTTTATTTGGTACATTGAGATTTTCATTTTCAAATGTCTATCTGCTTTATTCTTTTTCAAAATCTCTTTCCTCAATTAAAAAAATCACATTGCTGCTTTTCTCATCCGTTTGGAAACTTTCCCTCCGTGTTACTGACTTTGCTCAAGGTTCTGAATTCATCTGTTTGTTCGTAGCCTCTTTTGGGTCACCGATCATTTAAACCTTTGAAGTCTCCGTCTGGCATTTCCCTTAGTTCAGTACCGTTGTTGTGATTGTTGGGAGAGTTGTGTTGCCTTGCCTGTGCCTGTGTCTCTTGTGCCTGTGTTCAGATCTCTCAGGTCATGCGGTAGTAGATGACTAACAGCTGGCCCCAGAGCTGTCAGAACTCTAAGGTAATCTCAGTTGATGAGATCCGTCCTGGGCCATCAAGAGCAGGCCTGTCTCTTCCTGTGCACAGCCCAGGCTGGCCCCGCCTTCTGCCACCCCATGCTTCTGCTCTCTGGCCCTCCTTCCTGCCACAGATCCTCTCAGGGCCTTCCCTCTGGGCTGTGGCAGGCCACACTGAACTTCCCCACCTATGCATGGTCCTTGAGTCTCAGACCTTGGATTAGTCCTCACCCTCCTTTTTCTTTTCATCAGTAGAGTCTTGAGATGGCATCAAGGCTGCTGCCTTCCCGGTCCTACAGTGTGACAGAATGGACCTCTTCTTCGAGGTTGCCCCGTGGGCAGGAGGAATTAGTCTCTCCAAAGCCTGCAGGTGGATTGGAGGCTTCCGAGGACTGAGCTCATCCCCAGGCTCTGCTAGCTTGCCTTCATGAAGGGGCTTCTGCCCTCCCTCCCTCCCTCCCTCCCTCCCTCCCTCCCTCCCTCCCTCCCTCCCTCCTTCCCTCCCTCCCTCCCTCTCTCCCTCCCTCTCTCCCTCCCTCCTTCCCTCCCTCCCTCCCTCCCTCCTCTCCCTCCCTCCCTCCCTCCCTCCCTCCCTCCCTCCCTCCCTCCCTCCCTCCCCCTGCCTGCTGGGGAACTGCCCACTGAGGCTCTACTGGCTTTGCTTTCTTCTCTCTGCTCTTTTCTGGGAGGCTTTCACTTGTGAATTTCCAAAGCTGCTCCTCTGTTTCTGTCTTTGGGATAAAGTCTTCCCCTTCCTGTTACTGCATCACACAGGCAGCCTGTAGTCCGCCATCTTACCCCTGAATGAATGGCTTACCTTTGAGTTTTTTACAGATGTATTCATTTTGATTTTATGTGTGTGACTGTCTTGCCTGCACGTATGTGCATGCACCACATGCATGGAGTGCCTGAGAAGGTCACAAGATCCCCCTGGAATTCCAGTTATGGACAGTTGTTGGGTGGGAGTGGGAGGTATTGGGGACTGAAGCAGACAGACCCCCCACCACAAGAACAGCAGGAGTTCTGAAGTGTTGAGTCATCACCCAGCTTGAACAGTTTACCTTTCAAATCCAACATCTGCCGATAAACAGTACAGGCTGTGCTGTGCACTTGACATGTATGTAGACGGTTTTCTCCTTTGTCCCCCCTGCCCCTTGAATTTGGTCAGTGTTCTGAATCTTTGAATCTGAAATGCTGGTTTGTTTGTGGTTTCCTGTATCCCAGGCTGACTTCAGATTCACTCTGAAGCTAAGGATCGTTAGCTTTGAAATTCTGATCTTCCCGTCTACACCAGTGCTGGGATTACAGGCATGTGCCACCATGCTGGTTTGTGGGGTGCTGGGGATTAGCTGCAGGTCTTTGTGTATGCTGGGCAAGTTCTCTGCTAACTGAGCTACATCCCTGGCCCCCTGGAGTGTTCCTGTGTAAAGAATGCTCTCTGGAGTCTCATGGTTGTTGTCAATGGCTGTTTTCCTGTACCAGCAGGATAGGAAGTCCAGAGGGAGTCTTGTTTCTAGCCACCTATCCCCAGCCTGAGAACTGAGCCCTTTTCGTTTTGGGCGTCAGGTAGGCTGGGGGATGGCACCTGCTTCTGCCATCCCTTTTGTTTCTCCAGATGCTGACTTCCCGTCACCTGCCTCCTCTTTCCCTTTGCTGTAATGTGGTGAGAAGGGGAGAGCCCCCCACATCCCCCCACAAACACACAGTGCATGGTGTCTTCCAAACTGTCTGGCTGCATCTACTTCCTAGTCCCTGTCTCCTCCTTAGTAGTCATTGCTCCAGGGTCCCAGGCCAGACACTGCTAGAGTCCTGCAGCTTGTTTGTTCAGTGGTCTGGCTTTCCAGTCGTGTGGGCATTGGAGCTGACATCGCTGACTTGGATGCCCATTTCTCTGTTCGCTTGCAAATGGGAGTTTAGAGTATTTCCTGACTCCTCATTCAGTGGTAGGCATGGAGTGAGATTTTTATGGGATATGTGGAGACATTGGAATTCGGGCAGCTGGTCATTTCAGGTGACACTGCTCTTTGAAATTTGTCACATTTTGTCTTTAGATTCAGCATGATACCATCTCATTCATATTCTTCATATGCTTTCTGTTCTCCGTTTAATTGTCTTCTGCTGTCATTTCAAGGGCACAATATTATCCTTGATTCTTCTTTGAGAACACTTTTGTAGAGTTAGAATGTACATTACAGGGAGGACATTTGTTGTAGAGTTAGAATGTAAATTACAGGGAGGACATTTGTTGTAGAGTTAGAAAGTACCAGGGAGGACTTTTGTTGTATTCTTTAAGATCCCCTGCCACATGTGTTGCTTCTTTTCCTTCCAGTTGCTTTTCTTTCTCCTTTATTTTATTTTTTGGTCTCAATTTTGTCTTGGAACCTTTCGCTCTTATTGGTAGTTTTCTAGAAATACCTGGTGTCCCGAGGCTGACAGGCAGCTCTGCGGTGAGCAGATAGTTAGGTGCTCCTGGGACCTCACTCAGCCTCATGCTTGGTGAGCCAGTTCTAGCCGTGAGGGAGCCTTCCTAGATGCTTACTCATGTGTGAAGTCAGAGGCAAATTCTCTGATGTTGTCCATGGCAGAGTGAGGGGTTAAAATAAACCCACTGGTTTGAGCTGAAGGCAAGGCGTCTCAGAGGCTGTGGCTCCAGTGCTTTGGGTGAGCTTTGGTTGAAAGGGTCTGTTCTCCTGGCTGACATGGCTGAGCTCCCGTTTCTGTTTTCCCTCAGCCACTTCACATTCTCGGGAGAGTGCTGAACTTCCCTACTTCCTGTTGCCTCATACATCTTCCTTAAAACCCCGTTACTGTCACTTAGAGGTTTCAGGTGAGGGGAAACAGATGCATGTGGCCATATTTTTAAGTTATATTTGATTGCCTTAAATACCAAAGCTTACATCCATTTCTCCACTCACTTAGATTAATTTCAGCTTATTTTTTCAACATTTGCCAGAACAAAATAAAATTGCAGTGTTTTCAGAAAGATCATTACACTTCTAAGTCAGTCTGACTGCTAAAAAAAAATTACATCGTTTTAGACAGGCCAACTGCCAGGGAAAAAAAATCCCCCATAGGATTAACATTTGGAAACTTGTCTTTGATGAATGGGTGTAGGCTCCCTGTGTAGTAGGTGACTGAGCTGGTAGGGTGTACGAGAGGGTAGGGGGCTGCGTTTCTCAACCTTCCAAACGCTGCAACCCTTTAATACAGCTCCTTGTGTTGTGGTGACCCCAACCATAAAATTGTTTCATTGCTACTTCATAGCTAATTTTGCTGCTGTGATGAATTATAATGTAAATGGCTGATATAGAAGATATCCGATATGCAAACCCCAGGGAAGGGTCTCGACCCACAGGTTGGGAACCACTGGTCCAGGGTGTGGTCTCAGCCTCCTCTTGGCTGCAGTGTGAGGGTGCACAATTTTTTAAATTAATTTTTTTATGTAAAGTAAAAGCAATCTTAGCTTATACACCAATCCCAGTTCCCTCTCCCGAGGGTGCACAATTTAAAACAACATCAGTGGATATGAAAGACTAGTCATTAGCACAGCCCCAGTGAAAACCCCAAACACGATTGGTTTATCTTGGATGCCAGGGTTTTTGAAAGGCACATTTATGTTAGAAGTTAGAATTTCATGGTGTATGTAGCTACATATGTTGATGGTGTTTTGACACTTCTCAGATCTTTATTTTCTTTTCCACTTGTTGATAGAGCATCTCATTGAAAGCCCCCTGCTGATTTAATTAGCAAATGCCAATTAGAATTACAGCTGGTTAGAGTTTGGTACAAGTGTGAAGCAATTGATCTCCTGGGAATGAAAATGTTTTGCTTTCATACTCTCCTGGGGAAAACATACTTATAGCTGACTTCACAGTGCTCTGAAAATACATTATGTGGTAACATGTGCTATTAAGTGCACTTCGGTTCCTGGTCATTCTCGTCTGTGGTTGCTGACCCTGGATGATTCTCACTGGATCCCTGATCTCGGCCGTTCACCCATCCTCACTGAGCCTTTTCTTTATCTGTACAGCCTTATGAGTGTGTGCTCCACAGCTCCCGGTACCCATGTTGGGTAACTCACACTGTGTGGAGCTTCAGCTCTGGGGGATTGGACACCCTCTTCTGGCACCCACAGGTGATGTCCTCATGTGCACACACACGCACACCCAGACACACACGTGGATACGCATAATTAAAAATAAAGTCACAAAGTGATCTCCCGGAATGAGTGCTGCACTTTTCTGTGCACAATCAGCCACCTACCGAATAAAGCACTCTGGCCTCAGAGTCAGAATCCTCCCTCATCGTTCAGCTGTGGGAACTGAGGAGCTCCTCTGTCCCTGTGCAAGCTCAGTTAACCAGGGAGCAGGGGAGAGGCGGGAAGGTGCAGTGTGGGAGCTTCTGCACTGTAAACGCAGGGATCATTTCTGTGATGCTTCATTTTCTCAAACGACATGCCATTTGTTTCCTTACCATAGAAAAGTGGGAATGGGCTGAATATCAAATGTGGCTTGACATTAGAAAGTGGGAGTTATTACGGCATCGTCACGTCAGTGAGATGCATGCTGGGGAACAGAGTGAGAGGAATGAGAGTCTGGAGACTCAGCAGGGCAGAAGGATTCTCCAGTCACCAGTCACCAAGGATGGACCAACCCGGTTATGAACCATGTTCTGTCCTGTGAAAAGAGGACGTTCAGGACTCCAGTGTGGAACCTAAAGGTGTTCATGGCAGGAATGAAGCATTGTGGTGACAGGCTGGTCTTGGCTCATTTTTAGAGTGTGAGCCGTTTCCTTGTTCGCCTCCGTAGCTGCTTTGAGTGCACTAATCTGTTCCCTTGGCTGACACTCCTCTCTTTGGTTTTGTGTTCTTAGAAAACCACATGTACTTATTTGAAGGCAAAGATTACTCTAAAGAGCCCAGTAAGGAAGACAGAAAGTCCTTTGAACAGCTGGTGAATCTTCAGAAAGCTCTTCTAGAGAAAACGAGTCACGGGGGCCGGTCCCTCCGAAATAAAGGCAGCGTAAGTGACATTGCATTTCTATAAAAACCACAAACTCATCCCAGCTGCTGTTGCCCTAAGAAAACAAAGAGCAATGCTGGGGTCACTGTGTCCTCTTTGGATGGGCTGTTAAGAAACAAGTGTGTTGATTGAATGTAATAAGTGAACTCAATGTTAGTATAAAACTTGTGAAAGTATAAAAGCATTGGTCAGGCTGGGGAGGGCGGGAGAGATGACTTGCTGGTTAGGAGCCATTACTCTGCTCAAGAGGATCCAAATGGCAGCTCGCATCCTGTGTAACTCCAGTTCTGGGGTACCCAACATTCTCTTCTGACCTCCACAGGCTCCTGCACACATGGTGCGTATAACATATATACAAGTAAAGCACTCATACACATAAAGTATAAAATCAATAAATCTTTAAAAGACACCAAGGGACTGACAGGATGGTTCAGTAGGGAGAGCACTTGCTGTGCAAGCCTGATAGCCCACGTTTGATTCCAAGAACCTAGGGCGGAAGGGGAGAACTGACTCCATGACATTCTCTCTCTCTCTCTCTCTCTCTCTCTCTCTCTCTCTCTCTCTCTCTCTCTGTCACACACACACACACACACATACACACACTAAATAAAATAAAAACTTATTTTAAAACAATGAAGAAATTAAGCATAGTGGTACACACCCGTAATTCTAGCACTTGGGAACTGGAGGCAGGAGTATTAGTTCAAGACCAGACTAGCTCCATAGCAAGTTCAAGGCTAGCCTGGACTACATGAGACCCTGCTTCCAAACACAGATTAAGATAGTAAGTATATTATGTGACTTCATGCCGGTAAAAGCAGCTCTTGGTCCTCTAAGCCACCCCTGACGGGATCACATTGTTACAAGAAAATACCATGTCTGCTATTGGCATTCGGCGTAATTAAGAGGGTGGCAATCATAAGTGGCACTTCGCATATGTTCTCTATAGCGGTCATTACGTTCTGAGGCTGCTGAAACTGACCTGTTTCAAATGGGAACCATGTGATGCATTTGTAGAATGAGTTGCACTAAAATTATTTAAACTAAAAATGGCTTCCTACAAGCTATGCTTTCAATCAAGAAAGAAAGGTTATCTGGAAGTATCTTGCTCCTCATGAAATGATGGTGAATGCCTCTACCAGCCTCAGCAGGGCATTGGCTGAGTTAGTGGCCAGTGGGCACTGCCAGTGCCTTTGAGGTATCATGTGAACCAGTAAAGTATGGTGACTCACTGTCAGGGCCCACCACACAGGCAGTGTGGAGAGTGGTGTTTCTCTTGCTTCTGCACGGAGTGTGTTAGACGTCTGCAGCGGAGCAGACAGGGCGTGACTTCCTGACTGTGGGTCTTCATCTCCCTAAGGTCCTTATCCCAGGCCTGGCAGAAGGGCCTACCAAAAGGAAGAAGATTCTGAGCCCAGAAGAGTTGGAGGACAGACGGAAGAAGAGACAGGAAGCCACAGCCAAGAGAAAGAGACTAATGGAGGAGAGGAAGAAGGAGAAGGAGGAAGCCGAACACAGGAAGAAGTGTGTTTGCATTGTATCATGCCGGGGCGGGGCAGGGGTCCTCTTGCTAAGGGGAGGGTCTTGTGTACTGAGCCTACAAGCTGGTGTGGCTTTGAGGCCGGAAACTCAGGATCGCTCTGGCAGTTCTTTAGTCCTCAGTGCCAAGGTGATGATGTATTCTGTTGATCAAAAATTTATTTATTTGCCGTGTGTGTGTGTGTGTGTGTGTGTGTGTGTGTGTGTGTGTATGCATGAGCCACGGCACACACACATGAGGAGATCAGAGGACAAGTTGGGGGAGTGTCTTCTCTGTCTTCACGATTGAACTCAGTCTGAAGCAAGCACCTTTACCTGCTGAGCCATCTCTCTGGCCTGAAACAGGAATTTTAAAAGATATTATTGTAGCTATGTGATGAGGAGTCATTTATTTGAACAGTCCCTTTCAGGTAGGTTCTTAAAAACATATTTGGTGGCTTCTCGTAACAGTAGCAGGGAGGCAGTTAGGCCAATCAGTAAAACTTGCTTATTTATACATAAGTAGAAAACTTTGGGGTGGGAGGTACTGTTCAAAGTTCCACTTGTCACTGTCCAAGGGGTCACTTATTGTCTCCCTCTCTGGTCTTCTGAAGGATGGCCTGGTGGGAATCCAACAATTACCAGTCCTCCTGCCTGCCCTCGGAGGACAGCGAGCCCGAGGACCTTGAGGACGGAGAAGATGAGACTTCTGGTGAGCTGGATGGTGAAGACCTAGACTCAACTGCCATCAAGTATGTTAGCGGTGACGTCACCCACCCACAGGCTGATGCAGAGGATGCCATCATCGTTCACTGTGTAGGTACGAAAAGTGTGCTAGGACCCTGGGGATGTCTAGTCTTTGTGATACCAAGAAGCTGAAAGGATAAGGTCAAATGTGACCCAAGAGTGATGATCCTGCTGCAACATCATATGGTCAATGGCACGTGGCTTTTAGCAGTGAAACTTGACTCTGTCCTTTACTGGGTTGAATTATCCAACCTCCTTGGTCTGAAACTTCCTTAATCCATATGGACTCTTGGTGTCAGCTTTATCTTCTGCACAGCATACTTAGGAGGGTGAAATGAGGTGATGTTTGGAAAATGAAAACATCCTGTGAGGAAAAGCAATACTCCCTTGTGACCTCCTTATGACCGTCACACTGTAACTTCCTCACCTGGAATCCTCTTTCCCCAGCAACCACACTGGGCGCTGCGCTTCTCAGATTGCTCTCCCAGGCCCCTAGGCTAAGCAGTCTCCATCATCATCTTCTATCTTATTCTGTCCTGTTCTTTGTCGTCACCTGATATGATAACATATATTTGTTTATGTGACTGTCTCATTGCATTAGAAAATTAGCTTCATGGAGCAAGGACTTTTGTTATTGTTGTTCACTGGCATAAGCCTGGTGCTTAGAAAAGTGCTTGACATGTAAGATATATGAGCCAATATGTATAGAATAAATGAGTATAAGTACAGTGTTTAACCAGCTGTGTTAGTACCAGCTTGCACGGAGTCCTGCTTTTCCTCCTCCTTACTGTGTATGGGGATATGCACTGTAGGCTCACAGTGCCCACTCCATTATATCCTCCACTCTGTTCTTCACCCCACACCTCACTTCCAGCCGGTACACATGCACCAGAGCTTCCCCTCCTTCAGAACACTTAGCTTTTGAACCCTTTCTGACACAGTGGCCAAGTATACCTTCTAGAATATTCCTCAGAGATTTGTTACGAATGGTTCTTTGTCCTGGCTGGTCCTGCAGCCCTTGAGGCCCCAAATGAACACTCAGAGACTTATATTATGAAATTGCTGTCCAGTGACTAGGGCTTCTTATTGACCAGCTCTATCTTAATAACTAACCCATTTCTATTAATCTAAGTATTTCCACGTAGTCTGATCTTACCAGAGAAAGGTCCAGGGACCTGTTACTCCTCTGTCGTCCTACATGGCGACTGCTGTCTGCCTACACCTCTCAGAATCTTTCTCATCTCCTAGATCTGCCTATCTTGCTGCCCTATTGGCCACAGTGTTTTATTCATCAACCAATAAGATAAACGTATTTACAGAATGACATATCCCATCAGAGATTAGATAGACGTTCTTCTCTAGGAAGTCATGCCCCCACAAGCCTATTTTGTGTGCCTTTGGTTTTCTGAGTTGTGGACTGGACTTGCCTCCCGTAGATGGAAATTTTCTCTCTCCCATCAGATGATTCTGGCCGCTGGGGCAGAGGTGGCTTATTCACAGCTCTAGAAGCACGATCAGCCGAACCAAGAAAAATATATGAGCTGGCTGGGAAAATGAAAGGTAAGACATGAAGAGATGAGAGGGTCAAGGGCAGCATAGGATGGGAGAGGACACTTAAAACCCGGCATTGGATGGGGTAGCAAGCTCTGCAGGATATGGAAGAGCTGCCTGGGGTCTGGCTTCTGCCGCCATTGTAACTCTGAGGCAGCTCTCCCTCAATGTCTGTTTTCTCATCCGTAGTCTGTGGCTAACACTTTACTTACCCCTTTGGGGCTGTAATAAGGATAGTGGATTCAAGTGTTCTGCCTGAAGATCTTGTCCCTGTTCATCCAACTGACCCCATATCCACAGAGGAGCACGAGGCCTAGTGCAGACACTTTCACACTGTTCATGACAGCTCAGGTGTCTCGTGAGGTCACCACAGCCAGGACTACCACACTCCCTGAAGGCAGAAGTAAGGTTGTTTGAGGATGGGGCGGGTACTTGCTGAATAGTGTTAGTCATTGGCACCAGGATGGGAAAAGACACTTTCTTTTTAAATGCAGCGGTTACTGTGTGGTTGCAGGAGTGACAGCTTTTTTGTTCTTCCCTGAGGTGGCTGAGAGGGAAGGAGGGTGGAGGACTGAAAACCTGCCAGTTCTCAGAGGCTGGGTTTAGCGTGTGCTTCTGCCCTGTTCTGTAGGGTGGGAAGTAGGGGTACACAGACAGAGTGAACGCCACATTGGGGACACAGATTGTTGTGTGTGACAGAGGGCACACTATCTGGGGACACAGATTGTTGTGTGTCACAGAGTGCACACAGCTCTGGGGACACAGATTGTTGTGTGTGGACAGAGTGCACACAGCTCTGGGGACACAGATTGTTGTGTGTCACAGAGTGCACACAGCTGTGGGGACACAGATTGTTGTGTGTCACAGAGTGCACACAGCTGTGGGGACACAGTTTGTTGTGTGTCACAGAGTGCACACAGCTGTGGGGACACAGATTGTTGTGTGTGGACAGAGTGCACACAGCTCTGGGGACACAGTTTGTTGTGTGTCACAGAGTGCACACAGCTGTGGGGACACAGATTGTTGTGTGTGGACAGAGTGCACACAGCTCTGGGGACACAGTTTGTTGTGTGTCACAGAGTGCACACAGCTGTGGGGACACAGATTGTTGTGTGTGGACAGAGTGCACACAGCTCTGGGGACACAGGTTGCTGAGAGAAGTCCTTCCAGATCTGGGCACTGATCTGGGAGCCTGTGGGAGTGGGATGAGAGGTGTGGATGGAGGAGTCCTGTGTACAGTCCTGGATTGTAATCACGAGGCACAAATGAGGTTGCAGATGGCAGAGCCTGGGAAGCATCCGCTTAGTCGCTGAGGCAGGAAGAGGGAGCGGGTGTTAGAAAAGAGGGAATGAAAACGTAGATTCTCATGTCCAGGTCGAGTAGACCGTATCCAAAATGCTTGGGACCACAGTGTTTTAAATTTCAGATTTTTAAAAGATTCTGGAACATTTGCATTTACTTGATGAGACTGGGGGGCTGGGATCTGAGTCTGAATACAAAATTTGTGTGTGTTTCACATACATCTAATAGACAACATGAAGGTAATTTCACACAACAGTTTTTTGGGTTTTTTTTTGTTTGTTTGTTTTTACGAGACAGGGTTTCTCTGTATTGTTTCGGAGGCTATCGGTCCAGCCCGGACTTGAACTCACAGAGATCCGCCTGCCTCTGCCTCCCGAGTGCTGGGATTAAAGGCGTGCACCACCACCGCCCGGCTCACACAACAGGTTTTTAATGTACCCATCACATGAGGTCAGGTGGACAACTTTCTACTTTGGTGTCATGTGAGAATCTGAGTTCAAAACTCAGATTTTGGCTCATTTTAAATTTTGGATTTCTAAATTAGAACTATCTACTTTGTACAAGAAGAGAGAGGGCAAGAAGAAGGCAGAGAACGGGGAATGCTACTGGATTCCACCCTTACCAGTGGCCACATTGCCTTGGAACATTTCGGGGAGTTTGAAGACTCCGCCATGGCTTCACAGACTTACAGTGGGACTGGAGATGGACTGTGTCATCGTCCCTAAAGAGGGACTGACACGGGGCCCCGCAGAGTAGAGGAGCCTGTGCTAGAGCTACCAGGGACAGCCCAGCAGGGTGAGCACAGTCTGGAACGATGAGTCAAATTCAAATTGTTACCTAGAGGTGGCAGGCAGTAGAACTCCCGACAGTCTCATTCTTTTTTGTGTCTTTGTTATACTTACCATTCCCAGCATCTGAGGACTGAAGGACTTAGGCAATTACACAGCCCCAAGCAGTCCAGGTAGAGCCACTGTCCAAGGAGAGGGAAGTTGCATTTTAAAAAGAAGCTTACCCACATTATAGAGACCATGCGGGGGGGGGGTCCCCTGGACTGAGAGAATGATACAGCAGGGGTGCTGGTGTTTTAGAACGCTGTAAACGATTAGGGTATATGGGATATTTATCATTTTTGTTTGAATAGAAAATTCAAGCTGAGTCTGTAAAGCCCAGAGCTAAATTGGCCCATTTGTCTGAGCATCAGCTTGGCTTGATTTGGACGATAGGGAAATATACAGATAGAAATAGGAGAGTGCAGTGTGTGAGCGATTTCAGACCAACAGGAGACTCCTAAGGAATCTCCAGCACAGAGCTCGTCCACCCTATTCCTGTTCCTCTGCCTTTGGACTCACTGTGATGACCACAGGGCACTAGGCTGGTAACAGGTGAGGACCACTGAGTTTCGCGAGGGCGGGAAAATGCAGGAGGGAAGGAGCTGAGTACCACGCTAAGATGATGACAGGTCAGGAGACGGAAAACAGCTATGAAAAGGCAGAGGGAGGTGGAGCAAGCCATGCCCACGCCTGAAGCTCTGGCATCGGGAAGTCAAGGAGGGAAAGCCTGAGCTACAGAGTGAGATCATATTTCAAAAGGCAAGAAAATAACAGAACTGTGATTGGACTTAGAAAATGACCACGTGAGGAAGATTCAGAATAGCCCTTCGGTGAACTTAACGGTCTTTTGTCTCTCTTTAAAACGTCAGACTTGAGGTTGGGAGGTGTCCTCTTATTTCCTGTTGATGACAAGGAGTCACGAGACAAAGGGCAAGATTTGGTAAGTGAAAACCTGTCACATACCGGAACTAAAGCTTGACTCGTAATAGCTTCTGAAACCTCCCCCGCCCACCTCTTACGTGCTCACTGCCCAGCCTCTGCAGTAGCACGGTAGCTTGTTAGGGCTGCCACACCTATGGCACAGACTGGGTGGCTTCAGCCTTGGAAACATTGCAAGTGTTGTTGGAGACTCTATGACCACATGGGCAGCAGCGGGTTTGGCTTCTCTAGCGGCTGTTCTTCTCAGCTTATACATGGCCAGCCGCCTTCTCACTGTGGTCCCAGCCGTCTGTGCTTCTGTGTATGCACGCCTCTGATGTCTTTGCCTGTGCACGTGTGTTGGTTTAGAGGACAACTTGCAGGCGTCTGTCCTCTCTTTCCACCATGTGGGCCTGAGAGATGAACTGGGCTCATAGGCCTGGCAGCCAGTCCCTGGTGTTTCTTGTTATCGTTAGTGCTCCACACTGTGCTGCCTCGTAGATGTGCTCGGAAACATTTCCTGGGTAGAGTAAGAAAAGTGATGCAAGATTCTGGAGGCTCATCATTTGTGTTCATACAGGAAATGTGTGTGAAGGATTATACTTTCTAGCCGGCAGAATTCAGGAAGCGGCCCACACCTCCCCTGCTTTGCATCTTAAGCATTTCCCGTGTGCCTGTCATTTGGAGTATCTGTAGTGAGTTTTATTTCTTACCACATCCACCTGATTGTCTCTGAGGCCCGAATCCACATTTGAATTTCCAGCCAGATCATTGCTGGCTTAGAAAAAGAGTTGGAAAGTGAGGCCGAGAGACGCTCACACTCAGTGATCTGTGTGACTGGCAGCAAACTGTTTTCTGTTTCTCCACGCAGTAGTTTCTGAAACACTGCACAGAGCGGGAGGAGGGGACAACTGCGTAAGAAGCTGGATCCAGTGACTCAGCTGGTGGCTGTGAATGCGGCAGTGGTAGGGCACTGGCTTAACTTGCACTGGGCCCTAGGTTTAATCCCCAGCACTTCAAAAGGAAGCGGAGTGCTCACAGTGGACAGCAGCAGCTTGCCTGGATGGGACCCCATTGCTTTGGCCTCAGCAGTTCCCTTGAGGACCTCTGGGGGCACTGTCTTCACAGACTGTTAGGGCAGAGATGGGATGACTCCTGTCCTGGGGGTGTGGAGCTGATGGGCACCAGCTAGACGACTCAAATCTAGAACTCCCGACATAGTATCAGCTGAGATTCCAGACGGTTCTCATTTCCCTGAAGAACATTTGGGAAAGTCCATATCTCTAAACCTGTCTTAAAACAAGGAAGAAAAGCCTTTATAAGTTATCACAAAATAAGATGGGCCAGTCGTGTCGTACGTTGTAGGATACTGCTGTCCAGGCAGCATCCAGGAGGGACAGAACTCAGCCCAGGTCCTCTGTAGCAGTCCATGTCTCCTCTGTGGCCAGCTCGCTTTCTGCCAGTGTGACTGCCTTGTGCCCTGACAGCTGTTCACTGGTGGTTCTTCCTAGTTGGCCTTGATTGTGGCTCAGCACCGCGATCGCTCCAATGTCCTGTCTGGCATTAAAATGGAGGCTCTAGAAGAGGGCCTCAAGAAGTTATTTTTAGCAGCAAAGAAAAAGAAAGGTAAGCCCCTCCCTCTGCCCAGGGTGGGAAGAATTTGCGTCCAGACGTGTGCTGGCTTTAGAAGGGAGGCACAGTAAAAGCAAACCAGGTCTTGCCAACACCGTTTCGTATTCACAAGCCTCTTCCTTGTGTCCTGTGTCCGTCTAACGGGTGTTGTTCTCACGGTACAGATTGGGAGGTGGTCCTGCTTCCTTGTCACACACTGTAACTCAGTTCTTTTCTCAAAGAGTTTAGTCTGTCCCAGCCTAGTGTATCTTAGTGTTGGTGGAATTTCTTTACTTTTTGGAGAATTTACGCTTGTTTTAATTTATGTTTCACCTATCAATCATAACCTATGTCCATCATGTCTACTTACTTCTAGAACCTGTGGGTTCTTGTGTCCCATAGAAAATCTTTTTCTCTCATTTTTCCCCCAGAATGTTTTTGGCATTGTAATTGTATGCTTTGCATGAGGCCATCAATAATTGATTTCTTCTTTATATATTTTTCACTGATTATCAGAATCTTTTCATTTCCTTAGCAAGTGTCCATCTCCCACGCATTGGACATGCTACAAAGGGTTTTAACTGGTACGGCACCGAAAGACTCATTCGGAAACATCTGGCTTCAAGAGGCATCCCAACATATATGTATCCTTTTGTGGTCTGAATAGTGTGCTCTTCAACCAAGGAGGGAAATTGTGCTGTATCTCCTGACATTGCTACTTAGTCCGAGGCTAAGTCTTCTGCCATGCTCTTCACTCTGTCCCTCTTCAATGAAACACAACCAAGAATCTCTTTCTAGCTTGTATAATCTAGAATATACACCCAAGGAAGTAAGTACGCCCAAGCGTTTCTGGGTGCCTAGAAGTAGATTAAGGAAAGGCCCAGCAGATAAAGATGCCTGCTGCCAAGCCTGATGGCCTGAGCTCAGTCTCCAAAATCCAAGGTGGAAGGAAGGAGAACTAACTCCTGCAAGTTGTCTTCTGACCTACACACACACACACACACACACACACACACACACACGCGCACAAAGAAATACACTTAATAAAACTTTTTTCATTGAAAAGGACATATGGTAGCTGGGTATGGTGGCATACACCTTTAATCACAGAACTCAGGTGGCAGAGGCAGGTGGATCTCTGAGTTTGAGGTCAGCCTGATCTCCAGAGTGTGTTCTAGGACAGCCAGGGCTACACAGAGAAACCCTGTCCTGAACAATACATGATGATGATGATGATAATGATAATGATAGAAGGGTAGTAGGGGAGAGTTAATTGAACAGCTTCCATATGATAATGTATCTTTTCCTGTCACTTCTCTTGAGACTCTTCAGGTCTGCGGTGGAGGTCTAATTCTGGGAATTTCATTCTGTTCGCTACAATAAGTTAACTTGAACAAGTGAAGTCTTTTATTTTAGAACCTTTGATGTATTCTTCTTTGTGTTTTGTTTGGATTGTGATGCTGGGGATTGAACCCGGGTCATACATGTGCTTAGAAAGCACATCATACTGAGATGCATCCCTATTCCTTTCTGAAGCACCCTTAAGAGGTGGTGTAAACTCCATCGTGAGCTTTAAGTCACGATTAACATTTGCTACACTGATATTTTTTTCTCAAGACCTGACTCTATAGGTCAGCATTTTTGAACTGTAAACTGCATCCAAAATGGCTAGAAACAGCAGAATTAACCCTTAGGCTCTAGATACAGAAACTCCATCTTCTTACCTAGATCCTTGTTGAACTATGTACACTCCATGGTCCCTAAAGCATTTCTATCCCTATAAAACCTTAATTAAAAAAAAGTCACGTTTTATGTGCTTGCACAATGTCAGGAATTTTACTGCATCACATAACAATGACAGTTGCAAGTTCTAAGAATAGTAGAAATGTTTCTAATATGAAGAAAAGGTGTTAAGACGTCAGACCTCCAGAGTGTTTTGTAGTGATTACCTGAGAACTAGTAGTTGGGTAAAGTTGAGTTAGAGTGATGAGATATGTCTTCCTTAAGCACCTTTGCAGATACTACTTTCCTAGAAAGAAGTAAGGCTGCTGCCTGCTGTTCACCGTCTGCATCTCCCTCCTCAGCACCGCTGGTTCCTTAGCAATCAGCCCAGCATAGGATCCAGTTTTCAGCAACCGGCTAGTAAATCCATGGCCCAGAGTGACCGTTAGTTTTCAGGGAACAAGGCTGGTTTTGGCTGCATTCCCTACTCTGGAACCTCTGGATAGTCTTTTCTGAATTCTAATTTTGTTCCCCTGGAATTGTTTCTGTGATCCAGTTCCTGTGATCCAGGACTGCACAGCTTATTTGGGGAAGCCCTTTGGCTTCAGGTTACATAGCTTTGTATAAAAATAAATTTCCTATCATTAATGATTACATCGTTGGTTTTTTTTTCCGCCCCTGAATCTAATTTTCTTACCCTCTACCAGACTGATTTACAGAAGGAAGGGCTGACTGTCATTAAGGAGAATTGAGTGATGACAGAACGGGGAGGCCCTGGGGGAAGGAAGCCACATCAGCCAACTCATGCCTTCAAAGATAACCCTGGGGCTGAGGCCAGGCTCCTGGTCCACACCACAGGGATCCCCTGCTCTTCTTTGCATTGCTCAGTAATGAAGAAAGTCCATTGGCCTTGAGAATAACCTGTCCTCCACCTTCAAACCCAGTGCAGCTCCTGGCTGGCACAGAATGACCTGTGAATGTACTAGAGAAGGCTTGGGACAGAGAGCCGCTGGAACAGGAATCCTGGAGGAGGCTGTGTGAGCCGTGGCTCATCGTCCCTGTATGTGAACTCTTGGACTTCAGGCTGGACTCAAAGTAGATGTCCATAAGTGAATGGATAGAGAAAAATGTGGTATATTACTGAATAGAACATTATTCAGCTGTGAAGAAGAATGAAATTTTATCATTTTCTGCAAAGTGAATGGAACTAGAGGTCATTGTATTAAAGGAACAGTACACAAGAAGATAAACACCACGTTGTTCTCTGTCATGGGTAGAAGCTACAGAATACCAAACCTAAAAGTGGAGGAGGGGTTATAGACAATGAGGGTATATACAGCTAAATTTGATCAGTGCACCTTATATACATGTATGTAAAAGCACACTGAGCCCCATTAGCATGTCAGCTAATATGTGTTACATTAAAAAATACCTCTGTATGTTAATCCCACAGATGTGAGGAGAAAGACCACTGACCCAAATTATGGCCAACTCAAATCAAGCTTCATTTGTATACGTAGGAGCTGGCCAGTGGCTTTCTCCCCCTAAGAAGATGGAGTTCAAGAGATTAGCCCTGAGCCAGTCTCTTAAGCCCTTTTTATATGGAAAACTCTCAGGGTGGGGCATTTTGCAAGAAGTAAGACCTGGCGCTTAGAAAAGTCTCTCCTGGTACAGTGGGTACAGAATGTGCCTGGGAACAGATGGCCCTGGGGAGTGGGTTTCAGTTAAACTGCCAGGTCAAAGTAGGTCAGGTTCCAGGGAACAAAAACCTAAGTGAGCTAGAGTATCAAAATAGCTCCTGACTACAGACAGAATGGAGACAGGCTGGTTTCTCGTAGGCCTTGTGAGTGTATAATAAACAGACTGGTGTATCAACTAGTTCCTTGCTTAGGAACTAAGGACTTTGAAGATGATCCTCCTCATTTGTTTTTCATATCTCATGAAACAATTTGAGACACACAGATGTTTGTTGAGATGGTAAAGAAATGATTAGCTCTCACTATGAGAAAAGTATTAGACTTCGGCCATGACTAATAAACTGGATATACCTTAAACCCTTAATGAAACCTGAAAAATTTAGAACCTTGTCCTTTTTTTGTGTGTGGTTCCTGAGTAGCAACAGCCACTCTGAGCTTCTCCCCATGTTTCACTAATGTCAGTGGCATCAAAGTGAAGATTCACAATCATGCTTAAGGTAGATGGCTGGCCAACCCAGCAGAGGTCGAAATAGGAAACGTCACTGGTTACAAGGTAAAGCTTAGCTGAAAATCCAGAAGAAAAGATCCATTAAAACTAAGAACCTTCACTAGCCAGAAAGTGAATCACTACTCCTTTATTCCCAAAGACTGTACATCTAAGTTTAGTCTTTCCCATTAAAACCTTTTTAATTACAAAAATTAAAAAATCTTTAATGTCTCATTTCCTTTCCAGCAATATACAAATTTAAATATTTAGTTTGTATTTCACACTTACATACACACACATGCAAAAACAAACATACACACATATATAGTGACAGACACATGTACATGCACACTCCAACATGCACACCAACACATTGTTATGTACACATGCATGAACACACATGCACTCACATCTATACACACATATACTCTTATACACACACTCACACACTCCTCATGGACATGGGTTTTACTTTTGCTGCCCTGAGAGAATCAGTAGAAAGGATACCATTGACTTCTGAGTCACTGAGTCTGGAGAGGATTTGGGGGGTTTGACCATGACCTTCCAGTACAGTTCATGACTGTGACTGTCTTACCTGTTGAACAACTCTTGTTTTGGCTTCTCTTCTGTCATGTTTACACATTTTTTATGCCACATTCTCCTTTATACCCAGCTTCTTGGAGTTCCTATGACCAAATGTCACAGGCCAGGTGGCTTAAACAACAGCCTGTCACAAGTCCAAGATTAAGGTATTGCCAGATTGGCTTCTTCTGGGCCCTCAGCTCTGTTTGCAGACCACGTCACACATCACCTTATTACACAGCTTTCCTCTGTATGTGTTCCTGGTTGTCCCTCTGTTCAGTGGACTTGTTATCTGAGGATTCCCCAAACCTAAGGACATCCAAACACAGGAAAAATCTAAAACCACAAATAGACACGTGACCAGATAAGAACCTCTCCATGACATATTCTGGTCAATATGTGAAAATTAAGCAAATAAACAATATGAGGGCTGTCAGCGGAAAATGTCAACTCATACATAAGGAAACATCAGAATAACATCAGCTCTTTCATCAGCAATTCTAAAAACCAGGAAAGCATGAACTGATGATACACTACAAGCCCTGAAAGTAAATAACCAACCCAACAAAGTTGTCTATTAAAATTGGTGGAGAAATCAAAAGTAAAATATTTTAAAATAAGCCTAAGGGGCTGGAGCGATGGCTAAGTGCTTAAGAACATTGGCCACTCTTCCAGAAGATTGGGGTTTATTACCAGCACCTATACAATGGCTCACACTTGTCGGTAACTCCAGTTCCTGGGGGATCCAATGCCCTTTTCTGGCATCCTCAGGTTCTAGGCACATGTGAGGTGCATGTAGACATATATTCAGGCAAAACATCCATGCATGTAAAATAATAATTAAAAATACCATAAGTTAAGGAAATTACTAAAGAGTACTATACGCAGAAGGAAAATACCGTTTCATCCATGAGAACACAGAAAAGAGTGTATATCACGTAAAAAGAATGAATGGAAGTCAGATGGGAAGGAATCACATCCAACACAGTCAATCAGGAGAACCAGCCAACCAGAACAATAGCAACAAGGACCATCAGTAATCGCAAACATCTCTCAATATAACCTTGACTGCAAATACCCTTAACTTACAAAAGACAGATTGATTGGGTTGAAAAAATGAAATCCAATAACATTGATGTCATTATCAAGGCTGAACTTGGGAAACACATAAATACTTGGAGATTGAACCAACAGTGGGTCATTGAAGAAATCAGAAGAGATTTTTAAGAATAACTAAAAATCAAATGAAAGCAGTCTTCCAGAACCTTTGGGATATAACTAGGTCAGTTCCAAGAGAGAAATTTATAGCTATACTGTGATCAGAGAGATTTCAAACAACCTAGTGATATACCTCAGGCTCTAGTAAAGATTATGGCAGCAATGAATGAAACAGAATAAATGCATAGAATTAATCAAAGAGCTGCTTCTTTGAAAAGATAAATGATGACAGACCCAGAGCTAAGCTAACCAAATGAAAGGGAAGACCAAAATTAGGAAATTTAGAGGTGAAGGGGGAATTGTGGGCTTGGGAACTGAATGGCTCAGTGAGTGCTTGTTCTGCAAGCCTGAGAAACCTGGGCTCAAATCCTCAGCAGCCAAGTAGAATGGCAGCCACAGCTGAGCATACTGGGAACTGGGGTACGGAGACAGGCAGATCCAGCCAGCCAGTCTAGCTCAAGACGTTGATATTAACATCAGTGAGAAACCCTGTGTCAAGGCACTAAAGTAGAAGAGAATAGAGGAAGCTACCCAGTGCCCTGTTCGTACCTACACGTGTGGGTGCATGGGCAGACACACCTTTACATGTGTGGGTGCATGGGCAGACACACCTTTACATGTGTGGGTGCATGGGCAGACACACCTTTACACTCCTGCTCACTTACATGCTGTGCTAAAATTTCTTCCCAAGGGAGTTGTAAACAATGTCTAACCTCTTTCTAAGGTTCCAGTGACAAACAGCTACAATTGCATTCTGGGAAACCAGTGAGTTTTTTGGCTTTACAGGGCATAGGAATAAACATAACCAAGGAGGCGAAAGACTCCTATAATGGAAACAATAAGACACTCAAAAAAGAAAGTGGAGAAGACACTAGATCAGTGGTGCTCACATGTGGGCCACAGCCCCTTTAGGGGTTGCATATGAAATATCCTGAATATCAGATATTTGCTTTATGATTCATAACAATCACAAAGTTACAGTTATGAAGTAGCAATGAAAATAATTTTATGATTGGAGTCACCACAGCATGAGGAACTGTATTAAAGAGTTATATCATTAAGAAGATTGGGAACACTGCTCTAGATAATGCTAAGAACTTCCATGCTCCTGAATAGGTAGAATTAATATTGTGAAAATGGCACTTTACCCAAACTTATCTATAGATTATCAAAAATCTAATGACAGTTTTCACAAAGTAGAGAAAAATCCTAGAGCTCATATGGAAAAACAGTCACACCAATCTTAAGAACTATGCCAAAAGTGTCATAAGAACTGATGCCAAACTGTGCTTAGCAGGTTGTTGTGACACACAACTTTAATCCCAGTGTTTAGGAGGCAGAGGCAATCATTGTGAGTTTGAGGCCATTCTGGTCTATATAGCAAATTCCAGGCCAACCAGGGCTGCATAATAAGACCGTGTTTCAACAAAACTACATTGCAGAGTCACAGTGATAGAGATAATGTAGTACTGGAATAAATATGTATAACTTGGTAAACAGAACAATGGAGAAAATAAATACCCAAAAGTAAACCCAGTTAGCTATGACCACCTAATTTTTGACAAAGTTGCCAAAACATGCTGGAAACAAGACAGCCTATTAAGTAAATGGTGTTTGCAAGACTATTTTCACATGCAGAAAAATGAGTTTAAATGAATATCTCTCACCCT